CATAGAGAAGTACCTAGTGCTGGCTGTAGACGTACAACAGTACTTTAGTAAGTTTTTGAGTCATTTGAGTAATGATGTTAGGGACGGGTACTGGCTGCGGATGTCCCGCATTACCTGGGCTCTGGACCCATTGTGAGAGAGAACGCTAGTAGGCGGGAACTGGCTGTGGATGACCCGCAGTACCTAGTGGCCAATTAAGACACTGTTTATCATGATAAATGCCAGTGACTAGTAAGGTTTTTCCTGAGCAGGTATTTCACGCGCAGTACCCTTAATACCTCTTAACAACTCAGGATTAGCAGGGCTTTTCTTGGGGAGGTGTTTCGTGCGCCGCACCCTTAATACCTCTTAACAACCCAAGTTTAGCCGTGGCAGGATGCAACTTCGGTTGTAGTTTTGCGGGGTTCAGAGGTAGATTGACAATACTCCGATAGAGTAAAGTTACTACTGTAAATTAAGTTATAGGTAGATAACTGTTGACTCCAAGTGATGCACTCTAGGTGAGTCGCTCCTTGTTTGAGACACGTTTGGCGCCTGATTCTGACATGTTTTAATGATTCTCATAATAAATCTAATTCTTGTTGAACTGGTTACTCAATTACTTTTTCTAAATTGATTTCAGATGTATTCTCTCGATCGACCACCTGACGAACTGCCATTACACCTTGTCTACCGTTTGGGAGTGTAAATATATGTTTTATAGTAGTTGATGTTTACTTGTTCTAAGTATAAACGAACCCCAATACACAAATAAGGGCAGAACGCTGTCTTAGTAGTCCCATTGCAGGCCTTTGGGGCCTTCATATTGTTGCATCAAAATATTATTGAAGACTTTGAGACCATCAAATTTTAAAGCTCGCATAGGCAATGAAAGAGTTTAAGGTGTAAAACTACGATTCAATGAAGAGGTGCTGTACTAAAAAACCGATGAGAGGGCAAAAACAAAAGCCCAATAAGCCAAGGCGAAGAAGTGGATGAAGCTTGGGAGAAACTGAAACGGAACATTATAGAAGCTGCAACAGAAGCGCTTGGCACCCGAACTATGAAGCAATAAAAACGGAGTCAACGAACGATGTATCAAAAAGGGCAGGCTTATCTAAAATACCTCGCAACTATTGTACTATTCAAGTTCGTCACAACGGAAAAAGTCTAAAAATCAGGATATCGAAGAATGAATTAACTGAACTTCGCACTATTAAGCTGAAATGATCCACTCACCACCAACTAGCACCACATCGTTAATCTGGTCCTTTCTCAGTCGAGCATCTCTCAGCGCCTTCTCAACAGGAGCAAGCGTGGATGAGAAAATATCCGAATTGATTTCTTCAAACTTAGCTCTGGTAATGTTGGAGTAAAAATCATTCCCATCGGCTAGAGAATCGATTTCTATTGATGCTTGCGTCGATGTGGACAGGGTTCGCTTCGCCCTTTCGCAAGCTGTCTGGAGCCTTCGCAGAGCCCGTTTATTTCCGGACAGATCCGATTTGAACTTCTTTTTGTACTCTTCCTTGAAATAGTGTACTAGCCGATTGTCAATATCTTCACCTCCTATTGGATGTCCCGTGGTATCAAAAAATTAATTCAGAACAATCAGTCGAAAACAGCCACACCTAGATGGGTGTCTCCTGCGGTTGCTTGCACCTCGAATATGCCTGCGGAAATCTGCAATATGGACACGTCGAAGGTGCCACCACCGAAATCAAAAATCAGCACATAGCGGTCGTTTTGGCTCTTCTTGTCTAAGCCATATGCAACAGCGGCTGCAGTGGGCTCGTTTATAATTCGTTGAACATCCAAACCTGCAATGGTTCCTGCGTCCTTCGTGGCTTGTCTTTGAGAGTCATTGAAATACGCTGGTACGGTGACGACCGCTTTTGATACATGACACCCTAATAAAGATGCAACATGTTTTCGGTCCTCTAAATGACCAGAAATTTAGTTATGTGAAACAATTAATGCTACCGAGATATGCTTCAGCAGTTTCTTTCATTTTCGTCAGAACCATGGCAGATATTTCCTCCGGGAAAAACAATTTTGTTTCTCCTTTGTATTTAACTTTGACCTTTGGTTTTCCTGCAAAACAAAAGTTATAGTTTTGCTTCCCTGGCGATTATAACCGATTTTTGTTGGAAGTTTCTGTTTCCACCACGAGTTTGTCTCGACTTTGTGCTGGGTTTATATGGACTAATGATATTTTTTCTAATTTCATAGACAACAAAACACTGAATTTCTACTACATGACCCCCCCCCTGACTTGAAAGCTGGATTCCGCCCTTGACCTAAACTAACTCTGTGGCTTAAATGGTTCTTGCAAAACGTCGAAAAAGACGGCGTCATTTTGGGACTATTTCGCTATCAAAAAAACGAGCAAACTAACTTCGTCCTGGAAATTTGGACTTTTTTGAGAAAACTGCAAACCGTTCCTAACGAAACCTATACGTCCTAAAAGCCCCAATTTATGCTCTAACCAGTGGTGTAAAACTGAACGCCCGAGCTGAATTTCTCCCCGAGAAATTAGCAAAAACGTGCCGAGAAACATGATTTTTGTACCTAATCTTGTACCAAAATGTGTGATACTCAAATTCTCTTTCTTGTGTGCAAACTACCGCCATTGTCACACTGGCGTTTCTTTGCGTGAATAGGGCTTTAAATTATCTTTCCAATGATAGCAAAACGAGCTCTGTCGCTCAAATGGTTCTTGAGAAACGTCGAAAAAGACGGCGACATTTTGAGACGATTTTGCTATCAAAAAAACGAGCAAACTAACTTCGTCCTGAAAATTCGGACTTTTTTGAGAAAACTGCAAACCGTATCTAACGAAACCTATACGTCCTAAAAGCCCCAATTTATGCTCTAACCAGTGGTGTAAAATTGAGCTCCCGAGCTGAATTTCTCCCCGAGAAATGAGCAAAAACGTGACGAGAAACATGAATTTTTGACCTAATCTTGTACCTAAATGCGTAATACTCAAATTTTCTTTCTTGTGTGAAAACCACACCCATTTTCTCACTCGCGTTTCTTTGCGTGAATAGGGCTTTAAATTATCTTTTCAATGCTAGCAAAACGAGCTCTGTGGCTCAAACGGTTCTTGAGAAACGTCGAAAAAGACGGCGTCATTTTGAGACGATTTTGCTATCAAAAAACCGAGCAAACTAACATCGTTCTGGAAATTTGAATGGCCCCCTCCTTGTGCTGTATTTGCTGTTTTCGTATTGTATGTACAGTTGTACCTTTATCATTGATAACTTCAAATGGCCAGCTTCTCATGTCCTGTTGCACAGTGGCATCGTCAAATTTTCGTCCGATCAACCTTTTGATTCCGTAGACCGTATTTGTGGGATTCATAGCGGCCTGGCCTTTAGCGCTGTCTCCGATAAGGCGCTCAGTATCTATCGATTTATACTGCAGAATAGAACTGAGAAAATTTTTGCACAATAAAGCTGTTACCTGTAAAAGCCACATAACTAGGGGTTGTACGATTTCCCTCGTCGTTTGCAATAATGTCAATAACGCCGTTCTGGAAGACTCCAACCACTGAGTAGGTAGTTCCAAGATCGATACCCACTGACAAATTTTTTTCCACATACGAAGCCATCACTTGCGGTGATTTATGAACAAAAAATTTTTATGAACATGAGTTGAAAGCTGGCAAAATTGAAACCTTGAAGTGCCAGACCAATTGACAGATACCAGTTGATTTATAAGGCGCATGATGTTTGGGACTCTCATACAAAATGTGTTCCTCAGAACAACCAGATCAAGCTAAAATAGCAGTCAACGTCTTGCCACTCTGCTTTTGATATTCACCTCAGACGCATCATCCACAACTCGCAGGTATCCATGATGTTCCAATCAAGCAGAAGTATATCAGCCTGAGATTTAGGATCAACCGTTTGGAGAATCATCGGGGATCCTGGCCATTTTCACACTCAGAAGTTGATCCCCAACCTGTTCAACACCATGTTTTGCGCCCTAGACATAGAAACTTCACTATATTCAGATGTGAAGATAGTGAAGCTAGTGATTCATTCAGATGTGAAGATAGTGATTCAGATTGAATATGTGGCTTGATAGAAAGCAGCCACTATATTCAATAACCAGGAAATATCTTTGTGTGTGTCCCAAAACCTTCACTTGATTCTGACTTCGTTAACAGATTATGTATCCCTAACCAACCATTTGATCATGAACAACCAACATGAAGACTTCACGGATTTCCCAAGATACACAAATAAAATACACCAATGAGACCTCTGGAATCTTTCATCAACACTCCTGCATCGATTGTGGCAAGAAAAATTTGATAGGGAACAATGCCAGATTTCTTTCTGCTCTGTTCTGAGTCTAGTTCTGATGCAAGAGAACAGCATTAAGACTCAGTGCGGCAATATTGAACTCATTTTGTACAACCCAAATTTACACTTAAACCTAATCAACTTGAGCCGAGACCAAGTTTGGAGCGTCAGTTGCTCCAAGTCCTCTCAGTCCAGATTCTTTATGATAGCGTCGATAATTTTCGATGGCATATTAGAAATGGATATTAGATAATTTTAAAGAGTCGAATAAACGTCGACAGCAAAGTTATAACCGACAAGATGTGGAAGTCGTTTTTCTGCGTTCAACTAACTGTAAGCAAGGGATTGCTTAAACTCCGCGGGGGATAAAAATACCTTCCGACTTCGAATAAAGTTCGAAATGCCTGTTTCCTCTGGAGAATTTTTAAAATTGGCTCGGGGATATCTGTTCCAGTCACAGTTGTTGACCGTTCTGGATTATTTGCTTTCCCATGCCATGTTCGTATTACTGCCATGTCGGGAGAAGACACGATTCGAAATTTCAAAGCCAAGACGTGCATGAGAAACTACCATTTGGTAGGCAAATATTTGTCTCGATTTATTTTATATTTGTTTCAATTACGCCAGGAAAGAGAGCTGGGTGTGGGACATACTGCTTGCAGTTAAAAACTGTTTTCATAACAAAGTTATTAATCAAAAATAGATTGTTTTAAGTAAAAGTTCGTTAGTACTGCTTGCGTGCAAAAAACCAAGTAAAAATTGTTCTTATCAATTCGGAACATGGTCAGCCTGGGAAAAACGCACAGTATAAACAAGAGCCAACATTATTTGATCAGCTGAAAATGAAAATTGAATATCGGACACTTAGGTGCAAGATTTTGCAAAAATTTCATGTTTCCCGTCCCGTTTTTGCTCATTTCTCGGAAGCAGACTGAGCAAGAACGCTCATTCTTACAGAATTCTAGAAACAACTAAATGACCTTTCCATAAAGTGAACCATCGGTACGGAAATGTTGGCAGTTTTCTCAAAAAAGGCACGATTTCAAGACGTTTTAGTTTTGCGTGCTTTTTCTCTGACACGCAAAATCGATTCATACATTACGCTGCTTTTTTCGAAGTTTCTCAGGCCCCATTTGAGCCACAGACTTCGTTTTGGCATCGTTGGATAGAGAATTGAAAAGTCGATTCAGTCGTAACAACGTGAGTGAGAAAGTTCGAGTAGTTTTGACTCAGAAAGCGAAATTTGAATATGAGACATTTAGGTGCAAGATTATGCCAAAATTCCATGTTTTCCTTCCCATTTTTGCTCATTTCTCGGAGGCGAAATGAGCAAAAACGCTCATTTGTACATCATTCTAGAGAGAAATAAATGGCCTTTTTAACAAGTGACCCATCGATAAGGCAATGTTGGCAGTTTTCTCAAAAAATGCTTGAATTCAAGAAGTTTTAGATTTGCGTGGTTTTTTTTTGAGTTGCAAAATTCACTTGAACATGACGCTGCTTTTTTCGAAGTTTCTCAAGAACCATTCGAGGCACAGAATTCGTTTTGGCATCGTTGGATAGAGAATTGAAAAGTCGATTCAGTCGTAACAACGTGAGTGAGAAAATTCGAGTAGTTTTGACCCAGAAAGCAAAGTTTGAATATCATACATCGAGACCATGCAAACTCCGTTGCCAAACCAAAATTGTTGCCGTTATGCTATGGATTCTAAAACTGTTGCACTATACATATAACTACATAGTGGACCAGTCTTCAAAAGCGCTGTTGTTTTACATTTTTATTGCAGTCTAGACGGGGAAGCCATTCGAAAATTGGAATAAGAAGTGCTGAAATGCATTTTCTGCTGTTCTCTTTTCCTCTTTGCAGGCAAATTCGCGCCGTTTGGAACGATTCAGGCAAATTGTTTAATAACCGGAAAAACGTCTAGTGTATTCCTAGATTAAAATTATTGAACGAAGGTGTGCCTAAGCCTGCAAAGTGCCCTGTTTAGTTCTCTGAGTGTAAAAATATTTTACCCTATCGAACCCTTTAAAATACAGCAAATTTATCGCACATTCAGAAACAGAGAACTGCATCAATACTTGTCCATTTTTCTTTCCCCAAACCACGTCAACATTTTTATTTGGCTGCTCTTTTTTGAAAACTGCTGAATTCGAGTATTCGGTTGGCCATCGTTTATCAATCGACGTCTGCCAGTAGCATCAGTGAATCACGTTAGTTTTCTTAACTACCTTATACATACAAGCCTTCAAGTTCTGAGCAAAAATAATGACTCAAAGTATCATCTCAAATCAGATAATATAAGGTTTGCGCGTATAATTGACCCTTCAGGAAACCAAATAATTTTCACTTCATTTATGATGATACTCAATATTTTTCCTGGTCTTTTAACATAAAATATATACCTACAGTTATTTTTTCCTTTTAAATCTATTTCCATGCAATGTTGCTCACATTTTCAAAGGAAAGTACATGTTTTGATATGTACGGTAAATGTATTTGGTATTTTTTTCCGGTGTAATTATGAAACTGTTACTGTTTGTTCTATACATACATATAAAAGCCTGATTGTATGTGATTTATCATCGTTTCGAGAGCATTTGAAACACATTATATCCTTGCTTAGTGTCGAAGCTTCAATCCATCATTCCGCTCTTCTCTGGGGTTCGTTTGTCTTCATCTGTTTCCAATTTAGCAAATTTAAGTCAATAGCGGAGAATAATTTGTTAAAAAACAATCTTGTGCACTAATTGGTTGAATTTAGTGCTATTTGCTGGAGCATCAGTAGAAATATTTATATATTGCGTGATTTTCATGTAAGAATGGCCGTTCGCGCTTTAATCAGCCACATCGGCAAAATTTCATAGATGCAAAGAAAACGATGGACGAGATTATTCATTATAGGGGGTGGTCCATTTAACTTGTGAAAGTGAATGTACGTAAAGAAAATTGAGCTTTCAAAATGCATCCCACCGAAAGACACGACCATTTATACGCTTTTAAGGAGAAAATACGTTCGCGCTTATAAATAGCAAGGTAGTAAATAAGCCTTAGTCGAAGTGAAAGGTGTGGAAAACATAAAGGCGCTTCCACGTATAAAAGCTGTTATATAAATTCCGCGAAAAGAAAACCGTTCTAACGAAAAATTGCCTTGGTGCAGAAATGGGAAATGTCACTACAAGTTGATTTGTGCGAAATATGCATAAACAGTGGGATTTATGGGCTCTTATTTGTTATTTAAATCTCCCTTTTCACAGGTTGAGTTGGAATTTAAATATTTTTTGACCGATAAATGCGATAAATTTTCTGTGTGGTTCAGAACAAATAACACAAAATTTGGGACAATTAAGTCAGAAAAATTAATAAAACACTACATTACAATGAATGTCAATTATTGGGTCAATTATCGAGAAGACACCGAGAACAGGGCGAGTTTCTGGAATCTTTCGAATCCCAAAAACGTAATTAGTGCAAGAAATGCGCTCTGCATAACGAAAATATTTAAATATGAGGGTTTCACATAAATAGCCCAAATAATGTTCTATTTTACGCTTAAGCCTAGCCCACTTTCCTAACTTTCGCTCATTCTCGCTCAAAACCCATTGAAACATCAATACAACTTGCTAACATAAATAAAAAAGTCCTCCAAAATCAGGGGCGTTTCGAAAATATTACTTTCCATTGCATCCAGAAAACACCGAACAAAAAATCAAACAACATGAACAAACAAAAATTACAACTGGAGCTAAAAGCAAAATAAATGAAGCAAATTGTTCTAAAAATGTAGATTTAATTGCTTCTTAAAATTTATACGAAAAAGAAGGAAGGCAATTTTCGACAAAAATAGGCGATTCTCTCTCATATTTTTAGCGTCTATCCTAAGACTAATAGAGGAAGCGGCAGCTTTGGTGTCAAAGAAGATTTAGACGACAATATAATTTCAAGGCGAATTGAGAAACCATCACGTGTAAAATATTTTTGTGCACTTATATGAATATGCATACAAATATGTTTTCTTCAAGTGCGGTTAAATTGATTAAAAAGTGTTTTTATTCGAATGAATCAAAAAGTGCCATTTTGCGAACAGAAGCGATGATAAAAAAGAAGCACAGTGTGCGACAAAGTAAATGTGACACTTTGAACTTGCCACTGTCATTATATATTTTTTAATATTTTTATTTAAAAATAACCGAAATGCTTTTTTAAGGAATTACGTAGGTTTATCAACAACTATTGATCCTATTTTCAAGTTTACTTACAATTTG